GTAACTGAAGAAAGGCACAAAAAAGTGGAAAAGAGGAGAGGAGAAGAAGGGAGAAGGGAAGGAAGGGAAGGGAAGAGAAGAAGGGAAGGGAAGGGAAGGGAAGGGAAGGGAAGGGAAGGGAAGGGAAGGGAAGGGAAGGGAAGGGAAGGGAAGAGAATTTTCCCTAAAGGGGTGTTACCTTCTGGCTAGCTTGCCAAGAAATGTTACTGGATGGTGGGTTACAGGGCAATTCTTTCTATGTTATTGGTGTCCTGAACAAAGAATTGGACAAAGCACACAGAAAAGGTAGCCGGGATGTTCTTATATTGGAGATGAAAAAGAAATGTGCTAGGAGAGTGGGCTGGTGAACAGATTCACAGTGTTCCTGATAATAAAAGAAAAGGGATTTTTTTCTACCTGAAATTCTTGGACTGGCTTCTCCCTTATGCAAGTAGTGCATTGGGACAGTGATTTTATCAAACATTCACTTGTCCTGGTACCATATTTAAACTCTTTTGTGAAAAGATTTGCTTAGCTTCCCACCAGATGTAAGTGAAGAATGGAAAATAACACTTTTCTGATTGGTTCCACATACTGAGCTCTGTGCATGTCCTCTGGGTCTTTGTGACTTTGGCAGATTCTTCCTAGTTGTTTGACTGGCTTGTCCCAGTCCCAGTCTCCTACCTCCCCCTCATTATTGAATCCTGGTCAGCCTATACAGTTAGTATGCATCTTCTAAATGATACAAAAATTCTGCTGCCCATCCTAGAATAAAGGTGGCTATTGGATCAGAAAAAGAAACCAAAACAAGTGAGTACTGCAAGCCAACAAAACTACATGAACAATTTTTTTTCTACCTCTGAACCTCTTTCACCAGTCAGTGCCCCAAAATGACATCTAAGAAGCCCAAGGGACCCCAAGTGATGGAGATGTTTATCTCACTCAAATGGGACTGCTAGTGATCTAAGAGAAGTTCCAAATGTTGCAGACAGTAGATCCCTGAAGTGCACTCTTCAGTGGAAAACCACTGATGCCATCCTAAGCAACTTTTTTCCTTTTACCAACAGAAGTATTTACAGCCAGCTGATGTTGTGAACAGGAAAGGTGGGAGAATTCTCAGGTGCAAGTTTCCTTGGTCCCTGCTGGATTATCTCTGGAGTCCTGAACATGGGTTCACCTAGTGATGAGCAGTCAGTCCCTTTTCCCAGGTGCCTCTCAGGAGCGGGACTCCCCTCCTGGCTATGCAAATCTATTACAAGCCACTAGTTTCATAAGCTCATGTTCGTTTTCTAGCTACTGATTAAATTGAAGTCCTTTCTTTGAAAAAAGCAAAAGGGATGTATTCAAAGCTAGCTTTGAGGTGCTAGAGGGTCTCATTTTTCTCAAATCACAATTTCACCATGTACAGTTGTGTAAGGTCTTTTTTTTAGTAAGGAACATAGGGAAGCGGCAGCACAGAGAGATAATGGAAATTTCTACATTTGTTTTGTCGCTTCCAGCCACCTTAAATCATCCTTTCCTTTCTTGTAGAAAGGCAAGTGGGCTCCTGCTTCCTGTTGTCAGCATATGCATATTTTGTCTGTTCATATGGGCTGGAGAGAGGTACTGAGAGATGTTTATGCTCCATCCCTGAAAAAGTTTGGAGAAGCCACTTATCTTTGGAGAAAAAAATTCTAACATTTAAAGTTCTGTTCTGAGCTAGCAGTTACACAGGCAATTTTTTGTGTGTTTCATAAATAAGCAGTTCTGTCCTATTCTATGAAATAAATTGTATTTTCTTCATGTTCCCCAAACTGCCAACTGAAAATGGACTTGCTGAAATGTTATGATTTGAAGAGTTGCATTTTACCTCCTGATGGCTTGACAATAAAAGCTAATTGAAGTTGATTGCTAATAAGTGGAGAGATTAAAAAATTAGAGATGGTAAGGTAAATGTATTTCTTAGGCAGATTTTGAAATGGGCAGCACGTTTCTCATAAGAGGTTCTGAGTCTGACATTAGCAAGACTAAACATAGAACAAAAAAATAGAGCTGAAGATCTAGCTCAGTGTTAACAGTGGTTGCCTAACATGATTGAGGCTTGGATTTCAAATTTCAGGGCCTCAACTAAAGAAAAAGAGAGAGAAAAAGTACAAGTGGTATCTTGGATAATTGGATTATAGTTTTGTTTATAATTTCCTACATTTTCAGCATAGTCAGTATGCATAATGACCTTGTACTACATAATTATAAAAAGTATCATATTTAATATGTTCCCCATACACTTTGAAAACTTAAGTACAAAAAATAAAGCCACCGTAGACACAAAAATATTGTTCTATATAATTGATATAAAATATAACTGAAATAATTTAATAAGTAAATTACTAAACAAATTAATATTGTTATTAAATATACACTCTATTAAGCAGTATGTGAAAAAACTGAACTGTAGAGAAATGAAGACAAAATCATCATTGTGAAACAGTTTAGACTGCACAGAAATGATAATACATGGTTTACTTAAGCATTTTTTATAAATTAATAAAATCACGATGAATTACCAAAATATTTAGAAATATAAAAACAGTATTTATTAAAATATAGACAACCATTGATTACTTAATATAGGTCAATTTTAAGAATGTTTTATTTTGGAAATGTATCTTCATTGTGGGATCCAGTAAGGTAATATGAATCATTTTTATAAAATGGGATATCAGATTGAGGTAAAGACCATCTATTCCAACATTCTGTAGGGCAAACAGAAGGAATTAATAAAGATCAAAGTGTACAACAGATACTGTGAGATGTGAATAAAGTTTTCAAAAGGAAAGAAAAACTAGGGAAGGGGTAAAGGAAGGGAAAAGGAAAAAAACTGATAAAATGAGATTAAAGCTTTGTAAATAGGATGGGGAAGAGGGTTGAAGGGAGAAGAGGGGATTGGGAAAAAAGAGGAATCAAAATGTATCATGTACAGGTACACATTCTCTATGATGAATATAGTAATTATATATATCTAAAATGTACCAATAAACTTAATTTTAAAAATGGGATAATTTCTGCCAGTGATTATGCCTATATTGCAAAACTCAGGATACATGAAAGATTCTTGAAAAGTTGTTCAAACCGTAATTTCTGATTGAGATGTTAGTAACAGTAGGTTGGCAGTGGGAAGGGTGGCTATGTCAGAATTTAACACTTTTTTCCTAGGTAATAATGACACAAGTAAGTGGGTCTGTGTTCCCTTAAATACTATTACTTAAAAGATTTTAAAGTTTTTTTTGGATTTTAGAGACTTTGTTATATTCCTTTGAAAATTAAATACTTTTCACAAAATTAGTTGCTTTCAGCCTCCAAGTTAAGGAGTTGTTAGGTACAGTATTGGGCAGTGTTTGTAACTCCATTATAGTTAGTCAAAATAATATTTTAATATCTACCATGTCAGAAACCATACTAGAATTTGAGCTCCAGAATGATTAAGATAAAAGCACTCTCTGGAGAAAGGCACACATTTCCATAAAAGTCATAATATCAAATATTTAAGTTTCTAAGAGCTTAAAAAGTTGTTTCAGGTGGAGGAGAAGCCTTCAGCTTTAATAAAAATGTGCTCTTGCAATGTAACTTACATGTTTGCGTAAATCAGTAAAACTGGATAAGCAGTCCTGGTGTTACAGATTGTACCCAAAACCTCATGGCCTATAAGAGGGGTTTTTCAGAGGTGGCTGGATCTAGGGTATCTGAATATGGGTTAAGGGGTGTTAACTAAATCAATCCACTGATTGGTTTAGCATAATTTTCCATGTAGATAATGGGAATGCCCACATTGGATGTGGGTGACACTGTCCAATAAACTTGTAGTCTGAATGGGATAAAAGCAAAAGGAAGGCTCACTGCTTAACTCCCTTCTGCTTGCCACACCATGAATAGTTTCTCTCCTGCCATTACACTTTGCCATGCTGCCTTGCCTTGGAGTCAGTCAACTATGTACTGAAGCTTCTACATACTGTGAGCAAAAGTAAACTTTCCTCCTCTAACTTGGGTATTGTGTATTTTGTCCCAATAAGAAGTAACTAAGACACCTGGCAAAAATCTCCTTTGAGAAAAACCACACAAAGGATTGAGCTGGCAAAAATGCCTTCAGCTTTTTTATGCTGTGGAGTTTTGTTGTAATACAATTCTGGCCACAATCTGGTGAAGCAACTTGATGCATCTCCTGAGGTAGACCCCTGGGCATTGGTGTCTGAGTTCTTTGAAGGGGAGGAGCATAAAATAAAACCAGAAAGCAGTATTTTGTTAAACACTTACATAAGCCCAAGTCCCATGGGACTTATACTCAACTGCATAAATATAAACCTAAAATTATAAATAAAAGCATTTTTCACAGCTGGGCAAATGTCACAGGGGATATGTGGCTCTCTAGGAACTCCAGAGAAACCACGGGTTTCAGCTATCTTGAGGACTCTAATTATGTCACCAATAAGAACAGAAACAGTACTCAGCAGAAGAGAATACATAACTAATACATTAATGATCACAACTGCAAATAATAAAGGAGAAATTACATGGGCGAACCCATCTATTTTTGTTGTATGGACTTGTGAGAATGACAGGGAACATACTAGAAACTAAACAAAATTTCTAGTATGAACGTGCGCCAGTTCTCAGCAAGTACGTGGATCCCATTAAATGGTGAGGAGTTGGACAGGAACCAGACCAATACACTTCTACACCTGATTGGTTTTACTCAGAAATCCTGTAAGATAAGCATTACTCCCTATATCACCATAGAGAAACTGACCATTTAAAGGAATGTGTAGAAAAAGGAGTGTTTACTGTTAAGTTTGTTGAGCCAGTAATTATTATGTACCAGCACTACACTAGAAAAGCTCAAAATTTTTTCATACTCCACATAATACACAGGAAAAAAAACCCCCATCTTACCAGACAGATATATGCCCAAATTAATATGCAAGTGTACTGATTTTTTGGTTCATGTCTTATAATATACATAATTTTAAAGGAGACAATACATGTATACATAGTTTGTTAAATGCTTTATTAACTTCACATTTTTTCCATGCAAATATATAAAATTCTACTGCTGACAGAAATTTAGATGCATGTAAAGCAATCTCCAATTAGAAGTTGGCAACACAAGACCCACCTGACACACGGAAATAACAAAAGGTTCACAGCAAATGGACCAATAAAGGCATATTAGGAAAATGCAATGAAAACAGTGGGAGTCACAGTATCCATCTCATGGAACATGGCAGAAGTCAAGGCATAAGGCAAAATTCATCATGATGGTCATGGTGATTGGAGAGCTCCCCCATAAGAATACGCAGACAATTTCTCAACTGTAGCTCCCTAAGTTTTCTCCTGATTTCTCTCATCTCCTCCATGAACATTTCCATATCATCTCCATCTCCACCCATCCCATCATGGATCTGCCTATTGGGTATAGCCCTTCGAAAATTAGGGGCAAGTCGGCGAGCCTGTCGTCTGTTATTTCCTGCAGGCTGGCGGCCTTCACCTCCTCCCAAAGGGTGGTCTTCCTCTCTATTCTGCATAGGCTGCTCCATTTCTTCGTTTTCCTGGTGGATATTTGCCATGATGAGAATTTTTTTTCTGGTTGTTTTTCTTTGAACACAAGTAAGACAAGGGCAAGGAGAGAGACTGAATGCGTGGTGCACTGACCAGCAGGTTTTAGAGCCCTGATACATATTAGAAAGCTTTTTTCCTTTTAAACGTCATTTCCCCCCATTTTAGGAGCTCCTAGGAGAGGTACTCTAGGAGACCTCCAATTGGAGCCCCTCCTCCCAATATTCTCGTTTTTCTTCCTTCCCCCAAAGCTCACCAGTTTTCCTTTCCCAGAGCTCTGCAGGCACCAAAATGGAGGGCGGAAATGGGGTGGGAAGAGGGAAGGAAAGAGAGGAGGGGGAGGTGGGCTGGGGTCTCCACCCGGGCTTTCCACACGCGCCCCCTTCCACCCGCACCGACCTGGACCTATCCTTGTCTCTTTCTCTCCTTCCCGATTCTTGCTGTCAGGAGCTCCGCCTGGCCCTAGCCCCACAGATGTGCAGACAGTGGGGCTAGCCCAGCAGCAGTAGCCCACCCGGCGCCCTGAACCCGCCTCCCTTCCTCTCCCCTCCCAAGCCCCACAAGCCCAGAATCTCCACCCATCTCCCGCTGCCCCCGCCCCGCGCAGCTTTTCTGAGCTCTGTCATCGCCCCTCTTAGTTGCTCTGCCACCTGTGCTCCTGGAACCCGAGCTGCCTCTGCACCGCCACGACAGGGAGGCGGGCACTATCGGTGCACCCAAGAATGCTGGGGCTCGGAGAAAGCTCGGGCCCTGCCTCGCGGTTCTCCTGCACTCACCGCCAGCTGAGCAAATTGCTGCTTGATGCCGCCTCACCGCGTGGCGCGGGTTTTGGGGCCCTTACCTGCTCCGCCTTCCCCAGGCCAATGCCACCCTGTGATCAGGGGAGCGCGGAGCAGATAGCTAGAGAAGAGTGAGGGCTGCACCGAAGGCTGCGTAGCTCTGCGGCGTGGGGTCACGTGAGAAGTGCTCGTCACTGGCTAGCTGGCCCCCTACTTCTGGCAGCCAGTGCTACAGGAGCACCCCGCCCCCAGGCGTGTGTACTTAGTATCCGCTTGCCGCCTGTTTGTGTACTGTGTTCCTTTGCGCGCCGCCAGTTGCTCATCTTGGTTCCCTCCAATCCAAGGATCCACAAATGGAATCACTATCTTGAGGTTAGATTCTCTCCATTTCTAATTATTTAGTGTATATAGCATCCACCACTGCCAACTCCCACCTTGCTCCCCCACACACACCTTGAGTTGGAGTGGAAAATATATATAATAACTCAAAAATTAAGAATTTTTCATTCTGAAAAGAAGTACTTGGTCCTGAAGAATACAAAGGGTTGTAGTTCATGCTGGTTTGTACCACACTGAAAATATTTTCTTGAAGTTCATGTAATATAAGCAACATCACTTTGGACACATCCTGTATTAGCCTATTTCAAAGTTTTATTTTAAAAAGGAAGAATTGTTCCTAAATACAGTTACCATTTAAAAAATAATCTAAAATCTGGGAGAAGTCCAGTTTTCACATTTTGCTATTTTATTTAATTTTTGGTACTTTTATTTTCCTGGGTGAAGTTAGGTGCTTTTTTGAAAGTTTTAAAAATTTTTATTTTAGTTTATTAGTGCATAATACACAATGTTTACATTATTTGTGGGAAGTTGGTATATGAACATAATCCAACTTAATTCCTTTTTTAAAAACCCCCTTTCCCTTCCCTCCCTTTTTTGATTCCCCAGTTACCAGAGAAACGTTTTTATTTCCTGCTTTCCTTTTCAAACTTTCCAAACCACCCCTACAAATGCTCTTAGAATTAGCTCAGTATGCAGAAATTAGTTTCAAAGCCATATACATTTTAGGGTGAGTATTACAAAAATATTAGAAATAAACAGGGGATGGGTGAAACAACTAAACTTGAAGCTAAAACTCAGGATCCCAAGGGCAAATGTTCCTTCAACCTTGAAATCCACTTTTAAAAACTGCTCATAAGGTAGTAGTGGAGACTGCACAATTGGGAGCTAAGAGACCACTATTCTCCATTCACTGAAAACTGAGTGATGCCACAGGGCCAACCTCAGAATATACCAACTCCTTGTGTGCCCTAGAGTAACCTTTCTTTTCGTGGAGCTCATTCAAAATTCATGCATATGAACCACATCTTTTACATACAATTACAGCAGTGTGCATTGTGGAAAATAACAAGAATCCCAGCAGATATAACTCAGCACCTTAGAGCTCTGGAGGAATCGGATAAGAGGCATCTTAAAGCAATCTGGACATGAAAACACTTACACCTTCTGGACTCATGCTATTTTCTTTTCACCTATGTGACCCTCCTACTCAGTATATTTTCACCTTTATAAACTTTACCACTATTTCTTTATGGTCCTGTTCCATTTGTTCACAAGGACCTGGGAACCTATCCTAGGACACCAAAACCCTTGATAACAGTAGGGCAGAAGAAATAAATGATTGGTAAAATGAGTTAATATCCTTCTGAGGGGTAGGCTAGCTTTCCATGGGATTTCAGCCCCTCAAGAAAAATATATATTATCCCAGTTCCAGAAAATAAGTGCCTCTCCCTCTTGATGGCCTGGACTCTATTTCTATGAGTGTGTACTTTTGAATATTTGCCTAACAAAACCCTTTCCGTGGCTCTTAATGATTAGTTCTGAAAATTCTTTTTCTGCAACAGGAGTTAGTAGACCTACAAACCTATTCTACAGTTAGGGTAGGCTAGGTTGCTTATCTCAGCTTCAGGAACTTGTTTGGTCTCTATCTGGGACCATTCACACCTAGAAAATAGACATTTAGGAAGTGGTATTGTTATTAATAAATGTATTTGATGTTGGTTATCATAAGTGAATCAACTCATTCTATACATCACTGAGATAAAACAGACCACACCGTTATTGCCTTTAATTTTCACCCCAAATGCCTACATAATTTTCTACTCCGCTAAAGGAGGTGAGTTATTGAAGAAAGGAAGAGTTTAAGCCCAGGGTATATATTGCTGAAGATTTTGGAGACATATATTATAAAGTTGCATATATATGCCTTTGGAGAGAAGTAGATACATTAATATATAGCTCCAAAGACTCAAATAACAAACTCATATCATGTAGTAGTCTTGAAGGAATACAAATGATCTCTGGGTTCTGACTCAAAGTTAAAAACTTCATTATTAAAAGTAAAAGCTTTAGATAAATTTAGCAGAGTTTGAGCAAAGACTGATTCACAAATTGGGCAAACCTCAGAACCAAAACAGGTTCAAAGAACTCTGGTCTTAAAAATGTCCAGGCAGCATTTCATATAAAGAAAATTGAAACATACATAAAATGGAGGTGAAGCACAGATACCACTTGATCGGTTACAGCTTGCAATTTTCCTTTTTTAAACCTGGGTTGAACAGTTGGTGGCCTCCTATTGACTAAAGCTGCGATGCTGTGTATTTTAGTTACTTTCTTGTTGCTGAGACAAAATACCCAACACTCACAAGTTAAAAGAAGAGACATTTCTTTAGGTCACAGTTTATAGAGGTTTCAGTCCATAGTCAGGTGGCTCCAATACAGTGTAGCATGACAGAGGGGCACGATGGAGGAGAAATAGCTCTTGTTAGGCCAGGCATAAACCAGCAAAGCAGAAAGCCTTCCCTCCTTTTTATATACCATTCAGACTGCAAGCCTATCAGTTGGTGCCATTCACACCCAGGGTGGACCTTCCCATTATCCATGTCCAGAACTATGGTAAACCAATTAGCAGACTAATCCAGTTATTACACATCCGTAATCCAGTATCACACACCCATGATCCAATCATTCCCCAAAAATCCCACCTATGAGTGTATGAAGCTTTAGGGGGACATCCAGATATAAACCATAACACTGTGATTAGCCGATACTACCTATTTGTTATAAAAGTATGCTCTTTTTTCTTTCTTTATTTCTTTTTTGGTGCCAGGGATCAAACTTACAAACTCACACTTTCCAGGCAAATGCTTGAGCCACTGAGCTATATGCCCAACCCTAACAATATTTTCATAACTAGACCTTCAGTTGTCTAATTAAATTAGATTGCAGTTTGATTTGTAAGCACTCAAATAGAGACATTTTTAGATCAAATTCAATTTAAAATAATACAGACTATTTTATTAATGATAATGTCTGGAAGAAAGCAGGTTAGAAGGATGAGTGGTGGTATCAGACATATCTAGTCTCAAATCCAGTCTGCTGCTTACTTGATATGTAACTTTAAGTCATCACTTACTAAAGTCTCTGTGTTACTTCTGTGAAACAGGGATTGTTATAAGACTATAACCGTACGTATCATAAATCTATCATAAATCATTGTAAATTGTGACTCATTTATATCATTGGATGGTTTCTGAAGAGTATCTGAGTGTAATTCTTTCCTTATTCAAATCTATAGTACTTGTACAATACATAAAACCCAGAAAAATACAACTGTTTTGTTCTAGTTTGTATGCCTCATGATTTACAGAGTTCTTGGTATCAAGTTAATGATTAGTAAATATTTATTAAATGAAATCATGTAGTATTGAAGCTAATTGGTCATATTTCATTCTGGAGACTATATTTAGAGCAATATGGAAATCATTTTACAAAAATTAAGAATTACCTAAAAAGAATTCCATGAATGTAGAGATTCCACAGTGACATAACCATTGCAAATAAAGTCTGGCAAATGGAATTTTACTTCTCTTGATCATTACATGTGACATGGGGTTGACTTTTTGGCCCATTTTGGGTGAGTCTTTTGTTTGAAATCTTCAAGTTTCTTGGATGAAAACGTATGTATGTAGTGACCCTATAATCCAACATTTTGGGAAGATAAGGCAGGAAGATTGCAAGTTGAAATTCTGCCTGGGAAATTTAGATCATATCTCAGAAAATAAATTGAGTGGGTGGAGTTCCTGAGTATGTAATTCAGAGATACAGGGATACATGTGTTTTATGCTACATAAGAAATTGGTCATAATAAAGTAATATTTTAGAGACACATTAAAATTGTTCTTAAAATGCTATTGCATTACTAAAATCATGTAAACAAATTAATTGAGATCATCCCCTGGCCTTGGAATTGTCTGAGGCATTGGAGGTAGATAACACCTGTTGAGAAAAAAGTTATAAAATTTTCCAAAGCTAAATGAGGTCAGTAGATTTTTAGTTTAGGTTGCATGTCTACAAAAGGACAGAGAGAAAAAAGCTAATTTGATGGTTCTTAATCTTAAGAACAAGACAGCATAATACTGAGGAAGGAAACTGAATTCATATTTAGGAAAGAATAGCGTTTATGAAAAAACTCTGTTCCTTCTGGGCTCCATTTGTAATGTTTGATGGCCATTTTTGATGAGGTCTCTTCTCCAAAGCCAAGGGATCTGTATCCCGAAAGAACTGTACATAAAGTTTAAGGATATCTGTATGATGATAAGGTTTACTGCTCATTCTTATAGTGAAAAACCACTTTACTATTGTGGGTTTGAACTTCCTAGATGATACAGGATCTTGGAAAGAAAATTTAAAAGATTTTTCAATTTAGTGTGGTTACGTGTAGAAAGAGCTAGGATTATCTACTCCCAAAGTTCTCAATTCTGAAGAAGTATGAAATATAAATCTTGTCATGATTGTAGGATTTAAAATTGGACCTGAAAAGAGGAAAGTTGTTGAGGTATAGACTTACCAGAGATTGCTACAGAGTAGGACAAAAAGACCTATGTTTTACAGAAATGCCAAGTGATGGTCTTTCTGGAAACCTCGTGCAAGAAATGGTGCATCCTTACAAGATGCCTCCAAAACCTAAGGGAGCTCCTTGGGTGTGAGCTCTTATCAGTGAATTCCATAGAAATCAAGCTTGAGCATTAGTAATGATCAATTACATAGGATAATAATCTTACTCTGGATATTCAGTAAAAAAACCTATTCATCCTCCAGTTTTTAACTCGTAAA